CTCTGTATCTATTATTGTACAATCTACTGTACAATATAAAGTGCCTTGAGGTGACTGTCATTGTGATTTGGAGCTATATAAATAAAATTGAATTGAATTGAATCAGGGGAGAGTGCAGACAGGAGGAAGGCAGGATATTTGCAGAATAGTTGCCAGGGAAACACAGCCTCTTATTCTCATGGCAACGCACAGTTTGGTGTTATCAATGAGGTGGGATGGATAGATGGACTTCGCTCAATATCTGGAGCACGAGGGGACACCAAAGCATTTACTTTCCTGTAGCAGTGTTAAAGTGCTGTGCAATCATGGAATCGCGTCTTCTACCTTATCGGGGAGTCATGGACTAATTCAGGAGTCTAATGTTTATTCTGTCAGTGAAAGGGCAAAGTTCAAGCCTTTCAAAGGAGACTAAACCCAAGAGTCTAAAGCCCAATCCACAGGCGCTATATGTAAAAACCACAGATTAAATGTGTTGTGGCAGTGTTTAGTGTTCATCTGCGTTAAACTGTCATCTTTACTGTAGAAGAATTTAATATGCAAAGTCACATCTGGTGAGTTTGCAGCTCGGTGCAGACAGAAAACTCAGTGAGTAGCCTTTACACATTTATCCACTTAACAAGCGCAGTTTAAGTTTGCAGACTTATTGTGAACTTTATTCTTGCTCATAACTGTGGAGCTCTCACACGAGCCCTTTTTGTTGCAGCTGTAACTATTTGATCCTTTACCAGACAAGAATAGATATCTAATTTTACCCCTGCTTGAGGGCCTCAAGTACACACTTTGATGGAGAACTATTTTTTTTAAATCTGCTAATTGCTAATCAAATGGTCCACTTTTCCATTAAAGCTACATGCCACTTGTTTGCTTTCTCACCATGCACAAACTTCAGTTTTCATCTCTACTTCCAGCATACATGTTTATATTTACAGCTCGAGGGTTTAAGATGCATCCACCTTTACAGTGCACAACTTTTCATTTCAAAATCCAATCACCACTAAGTGAGTAATACTGCAGTGTTACAGGAGGAGTAAAAATGGTCCTCATGACTAATGTGCTTGATTAACATTTAAGTAAATACATTTAGTTTATTTTTTTATACAGATGAGTAAAAATGAAGGAAAAATGGTCTCAGGGACTCAGTAAGATGAGGATGCTATCTAGCATGTCACACACAAAATTTCGTAAAACTGTTTCAAGATTTGAGCAAATAATTCATATGATTAACTTTATGGATGAATTTACTTACACAAATCTGAT